AAGAAAAAGCAGATACCCACGATCGGAATCGCAAAACCCACCTCCAAGAATTGGGCGAATTTTTTTAGGCGCGGGGCGAATCGGCCGATGCCGCAGTGGAGAGTGGCGGAAGGGGACGATTCACTCCTTCCTTCCTTGGCAGGCGGTTGTTCTCGCCTAGGGATGGCAATGGGTAGGCTCGGGTGCGGGATTACCCTATACCAAGTCCTAACCCGCCGGGTAGAGCCTTCTAAAATACCCGACCAAATAACCACCGGGTATGAAAATTATATAATCATACCCTACCCACCGGGTAACCACGGGTATTCGGGTAACCATGGGTACGAATCCTAAACTATGAACTTAAACACATATATGCACATACATACTATTGTCCATTAAAAATTCTCAATACTTGTAACTGTTCTAGCTTCAACAATCCACACAAATAAAAACAACAAACACATAATAATTGTTCTTGCTTCTATAATCCACACAAACATAATAATCGTCTACATCTTCATCATCAATAATGGTAGCTACACTCAATTTCTCAAGCTAAACTAAATTTCTCAAGGCAAATTAACCCTTTGGTTAGCGGGGCGGGTATTATCGATTACCATACCCGTACCCTATCCTTTATTTTGAAACCGGGTATTACCCGTACCCGCCCCTTAACCCGTCAAAGCGGGTAATTACCCTCGTTGACCGGTTACGGTCGGGTAGGGTACCCATGGTTACGGGTTGGATTGACATCCCTATTCTCGCCCTCTTCTTCCTTTCTATCTTTGCCTTCTCTCATTGATTTTGGATTTTTACTTCCGTCATGGTCAGCGGCGAATTTGGGGGGGGGGGGGGCCACACTGGGCCTGGGCCCAGCCCTCTCTGCCAGCCCGAGACCCCTCCCCCTGCATCCCACTCCCCCCTGCATCCCATTACCTTGGGCCCTGGCCATTTCCAAAGCCCATGCGGCCAAACTGCCAAAGGAGAATAGAAAAGAAAAGGAATAAAACAAAAACTTAATTTCCAATCCCACCCAGGCCCTGTCCCTGTCCCTCGATTCCCATCCCCAATAACAAAAGCAAAACTTTCCAGGCCCCAATTCCCATCTGATCGGCGATTTCGTTTTCCACCGCGATTTCGTTTTCCACCGCGGTGATCAGTTCCAAATTTAAAGTCCGACCAACCAAGACAACAACACGTAGGCAGCAGGAACAGGTCAGCACCCATCCCAACCTTCCAAGTTCCAACTTGTTTGTTTTCTTTTGACAGCTCCCAAATCCCAACTTGTTTGTTTTCTTTTGACTGCTCCCAAATCTGAACTTTGGTTTGTTTTCTTTTGAATAATTGATCATACAGGTGTAAGATTAATTGATTATGTTGTGTTATTTTGTATGATTAATTGATTATGCAGGTTTAATATACTTTATCATGACATCTTCTCAACCACCAAATAAAAAGGCGAAAACGACGTTGTTTTCTTACTATCAACGTCAGGAATCTCAAACGAGTCAAATAGAAGACATTCCTCCTATCGAAGGTCAACCATCTTCCTCTCTAGAGCAAAACCAATCATCTACTTCTCCTCTATCTGGTAATCTACATCAATCATCTGACGGTGGAATTGAAGTTGAAAGAGATCCAGGAAAGAGGAAACAAATATGTGATTGGGCTATTGAGTTGAGAGATGAGGTCAGGAGAAAGTACCTCATACACAAGGCTTATCAACCAAAGCTCACGGACTATAAGCCCCGAGAATATCCAGATAAAATTCGTCGCTTTCAAGAAGCATGGTATTCACAATTTGATTGGTTGGAGTATTCACCTACAACACATAAAGCATATTGTTTCCCATGCTTTTTGTTTAGAGATAAGATGCATGGAAGTCAAACTTCTGCATTGGTGCAAAAGGGATTTGATCAGTGCATAGATTTTCAGTTGGGAACATTGGATTCAAGATTCAACGAGTCATCAGTTAGATTGCTTCAGTTGAGTGGTGCACTAGATCCTAAAAGTTCTTTCCGGTCATTTGATGAAGAAAAGATTTACAAACTTGCTGAAGAGTTTTATCCTCAAGACTTTGAAGGTAATGAGTTGCATTGTTTGAAGAATGAGCTAGGATATTATGCCGACCATGTGGTTCGTAGTCATGCATATGAGGTTTCTTCCCTAGCAAAATTACTAGAGAAGCTGGTGGAAACAGAGATGGACACAAAGTACAAATTGATATGCCGGCTGATTCGTCTAGTGTTAACATTACCAGTTTCAACAGCTACTACAGAGAGATCCTTTTCAGCAATGAAGCATGTGAAGACTGATTTGCGCAACAAAATGGGGGATGAATATCTGGCTGATTGCTTAACTATTTTCTTTGAGAGAGAGTATGTTATTGGTATGGATGAAGACTCAATTATTGATGAATTTGCTAAATTGAAAGACCGTCGTGTGCAATTGATATTGTAATGAAAACTATAATTATTATTATATATTTTTGTTTACGGTATCTAATTTTCTGTTCAAATCCGGCCCAGTGCTCTACTATATCCTGGATCCGCCGCTGGTCATGGTACAAAGAAACTTGAAACCCACACAAGTGACTGAGAATCAGAGACAACGAGAGTTGCTGAATTGGTGGCGGTGGCAGAGTGGTTGAAGCGGCAGCCAGCGGCGGATCCAGAACATAGAATAGAAGAGCACTGGGCCGCATTTTATTAAAAAATTAGAACCGTAAAAAAACACTATAGTTTTTTACAATATAAATTGTAAACGACGTTATTTTAATTTAGCGAATGCATCAATAATGGAGTCCACATCCATACCAACAGTATACATTGTTTTAAATAAAATACTTTAGCAATCGGCTAAAAATTCATCGTTCATTTTGTTGCGAGATCAGTTTTCATATGTTTCATTGTTGAAAAGGTTCTCCTTGTAGTAGTTGTTGATACGAGCAGCGTCAAAACTAGACAAATCAATCGTGCATTGTGTGTCCATACCTATATCCACTAACTGCTTTAGTAAATTTTCAAGGGAACAAACCTCATATTTCTTGTAGTCTTTTACGTTTTAAACTTTTAAACTTTTAGAATTTTAGATTTCATTGTTTTTTTTAGAAAAATAGTCTTTGAAGCTAGAATTTCTAGGCTAAATTTATAGTAGTGATTTGAATATGTTAATCTGAATCATTTTTCTAGTTACACGCAATCTTATTATAAAATAACACCAGACCGAATAACTAAAATCGAAAATTCATAAACACTATACTAACTCCGAATCAGGGGAGGGCTGGGCCGGGGCCCGGGGTGGCCACCCCCTGGATCCGCCACTGGCGACAGCGGAGAAAACAGAGACAGAGGCTAGGCGGAATCAGGAGGAGAGAGGAGTAGTATTCCCCGTTTGTTCCTTCTTTTAATAGTTTATAATTTTATTTTTATCTTTTTAATAGTTAGAAATGAGAGTTGACTGCCACATAAGCAAAAGTTAACGGAGATGGACGGAGAGTGACCAAATTTGAAATATTTAACTAATTTTAGTGACCATGAATGGAATTAAATATTTTTAGTGACCAAAGGTGAACGATTTTAGTAATTTCAGTGACCAACCATGCAATTTATCCATTTAATAAATGGTTCAGATTTGTTACGGAAAGTGATAGTGGATTGTGAGGTCAGCATAGTGAAAAGCAGCTGACAAAAAGCTGTTTTTGGGGCCTGCATACTCAAAAAGGAGCTGACAGAAGAGAGAGCGTAGGGAATAGAAGTTCTTGAAAATGCTGAATATGATTTCTGTTTTGTACAAATATGTTTTGTGATCAGTAGCAATATGCTTTGTATGTAGTAAGAATATGGTTTTTAATGCATGGTATATTATTTTGAATAAGAGTTGTGAAAATTACAAATATAGAAATCAAACGTATGGAATATGTTTTCTATTCAATGCAAATATCATTTTTTATTTAATACGAATATGTTTTTCTAATGTGTATATTTGTTCAATACAAATATAACTTTTGCTCAGTACAAATATGTATTTTGTTCAATACAAATATTATTTTTGTTCAACAAGAATATACATATATCACTTGTAAATTGTATGTATTAGTTATATTGTGTTAAAAATAAAGCTCACAAGTCATCTACTTTTTCAGGTCGTGGGTCACATAATCCGCTATCTATTACTCTAATAGATCTGAGCCTTTAATTTAAAAGAACACTTTTGTGGGCCGTTGGATAGAATGGAGAACCATTCTCCAAAATCCAAGTGGTGCACCATATCCTGGTTCTCTGAAAACCCTCCCATAACCTGACTCCATGCCTTTCCCCATGACAACTGCAGTCACCTCCAACACTTCGAGCCGCGAACGGGGCCCAACTCCCACCTCCAAACGGAGACTAATCATGACGCCCTCCAACTTCTCAACCCCAGCAATCCCTCCCCAACAGAACACCCAAAGAGCCTCGATCCGTGCACTCGTTCGGGCCAAAGTCACTTGTAGATCTCTGACGACCAACGCGCTCAAGAGCCACCATCAGACCCCTGACAGGCCAAATAGAAGCTAACGACCAGTCCCACAACGACCGAGCCATCAAACCCCCATCCAATCCGAATGAGACCCCACCGAACTCCAGTCCACACAGAAGGACATGCCAATCTAAAACAGTACATCCCAGTCACGTTGTACAGTAAAAGGTGTCTGTATGCACAGTGAAGGGGATGTATTCTTCCTAAATTTAAGCAGTAGGGCTGAAATTTTAAACTTAGACATGTTCTCACAAAGAGGCTATTTACATTAGTGTTTGTAAAAATCCACAACGGCAACTTAGTAATAATTCCGTCATAAACGTAAGCCTACTTGGTAAAAAAACAATAGCTAGCTTGCACTTTTGCGCGTTATTCACCTCGTTGTTCTTTCATATTAGCGGTTTCCAAATACTTAATACACAGTCGTACCACCCTCCAAATTGCTTGCCGTCAGGTGGGGCCAGAGACTCTTTTTTGGGTTTAAGAGAGTGATTTTGATCATAGAGATATAAAACCTGTGTAAAAAAAGACGAGAGTGGAGAGACTGAGGGGTTTCCCTCCCTCTCAAATTTGGACACAGAGACAAATCTCACGCTTTACAAGAAAACCGACACAAACAACAAACAATCCGTTCCCCTCCCCTCTATCAATCAAGCATAGACAATCTCAGTACAAACAATCTGTTCCCCTCCACACTGTCAATCAAGCATAGACAAATTTAGTACCAACAATCCGTTTCCCTCCCCACTGTCAATCAAACATAGACAAAATCAGTACCAACAATCCGTTTCCCTCCCCGCTGTCAATCAAACATAGACAAATTCAGCACCTGCCTCTGTCAATCATGCATAGACAAATTCAGTACCAACAATCCGTTTCCCTCCCCTCTGTCAATCAGGCATAGACAAACTCAGCACCTGGTGACTTCAAAGCAGGGGGCATCTTGTAGTTTGCTCCATGGTAATGCATACCGTAACGAATGAGACGTAGGGCTTCATAAAATGTATGCAAGAGATTCGGGTCATTCACGTGCTTATACACCTCGAAATGGTAGAAGTCTCGGGCAGGTAGCGCCTCCCCTTCATAGTCCGGAGGATGGAGAAAACTATCACGATAGACGAGGAGACTGCAGAGGCGTTTCTCGTCCCCCGGGTGCATGAGAAGGATTGTTCTCATCTTCAGACACCTTACAGCACATTCAGTCACCCTCTGCCTTAGAGATTCAACATAACCGTCTGGGTCCTCCCCAAACTCAGAAGGCAGCTCAATGTACCTGTTGGGATATAAAATTGCATCGATTAGCGACCTACGAGATTCAACATAACCGTCTGGGTCCTCCCCAAACTCAGAAGGCAGCTCAATGTACCTGTTGGGATATAAAATTGCATCGATTAGCGACCTACGGTGCTTCGCCACCAAATCCTGTGCTGCGCTGTACTTGCTCCATGCAGAAGAGTATGCCTTCAAAGCCACATTTGATATATTCCGAGGACACTGCATCACCAAAAAGAGTTTTGATTAGAAAAAATAATTTACAAACATCAGCCAAGATAATGTGCAACATTTACCTGAAAATCGACAATGAATCCATTGCGTCCCATGGCATCACAGATCTCGTTGTTTAGATCTGAGCTCACACCTCTGTAAACCCTATACCTGCTATACCCCATCGGATACATGCTGACTTGGTAATCGAACGTTTGATGGAGGCGGCGGTAAGTATCAACACATGCCAAAGCGGCAACATCATTCAAGTCTTTCAAAATCACATGCTTCAGTCGGGTCACAATTCCAGCTCTGCGGACAGCAACTCGTGTCAGGTCTGCCACATCAACCTCTTCGTTGCTCCACCATTTATCCGCACCTTCTTCATTCCAACCGTTGTTCCAGTTGGCAGCTTCTACTGCCTGGTGTGCGGCGTTGAAGCTCCTCAGAAAAACAGTGGACCTTGTTCTTGGCATCTGCAATTGAAATTCTTATTAGCACTAATGGTACTGCCTACTGCTATGTGGTTCTTGAGTAGCTCTGCTTTTCATTTGGTGAAAGGGCCTGACTCCATACAAATCATCGAGATGCTATGATGCTCAACCCTAAATCGGCTACACCAGTAATAAGAACTCAAAATTCAAGCAAGCCATAGAGTTTTCTCGCATATGAAAGGCAAACAAACAGGTAAGAAGAGAGCATGGTATATGAATCAATGAAAAACTGGAAGTCAGCCTCTCAACATAAGGGATCACCCAACTAACAGTCGAACAAGCAACAAACAATGGCTATGACGAGCAACCCTAGTCCAAACTGACGCTGAAGCTTAAGCAGACAATGTCCCATTTTCAAATTGAATAATAGTTCAAGTTTTAGGGTTAGAATTGACTTTCAACAATAATATGCTGCCTAATCCTTACCTCATATTTAACCATCTTAATAACCAAAGAAACAGACCAATATGACAATATATAACAGCACCCTGGAATTTTAAAGTCGAAGATCAATACAATACTCCAATTATTAGCTAAGTGACACATGTACCTAATCTGCACCCATCAGCCATGCATGTGTGCCACCTACCTAATCAATCCAATAGCTATGCATTTACATAAATATAGATAAGCAAAAGTTCCTACAACCATACACCTTCAGAGAGTTATTAGCTACGTGACACATGTGCCTAATCTGCACCTACCAACCATGCATAATTAATCCAGTTGCTGTAAACTTGCATAAATATAGATAAACAAAATTTCCTATAACCACACACCTTCAAAGAGTTCAATAGGCTCTCTGAGGAAAACAGTCGAACACGTAGAGGTCGCAACGGAATCAAACATCATAGTGAGTCATTGAAGCCAAAAGGTCCTATTCAATCGGCTCTTTGAGGAAAAGAGTCGAACACGTAGAGGTAGCAACGGAATCAAACATCATAGCGAGTCATTAAAGCAAATTGACCCTAGGTATTACCACAAAATCAAACACAGACAGCATAGACGCCAGAGTCGAAGAGAAATCAGCATTACTGACGTTGCAAAATTCAATCAGTAGCATAGCTCAAGTGAGCTTGAAATTGGATCAGCCCTTGGATTCAGAAGGAATATGTGGCTGTGCTCTTAGATGCAGGGTGGTTGAGGAGGAGTTTCTAACTCGCTACTCTATCTCCTCGCTCAACCAACAACAGGCCATTGTCAAGTGCCCGCAAACTACAAATGAGGTCGAAGCACTGTTCCGATAGAGCATTCAGCTTCAATAATGGCTATGAAGCATGATTCGGAAGAAGCAATCGTACAACCCTAGTCCTAACTAACGCTGAAGTGTTTAGCAGATAATGTCCAAGAAGAGAGGTCACGTACCTTGCTCAATCTTGGCCGAAAAGAATCGCACACCTTGCTCTTTGAATCAAGCTTACGCCTCCGGAAGATGCAGCTCCTTCACCGCCTACAGTCGCCGGCGGTTCTGCTCGATCGCTTTCTTTCCTTCGCCAGCAGAGGAGGGGGGAAAAGACGAAACAATGGAACAGAAAGGAATAGAACAGAAAGGAAGAAAAGGGGGGAAGAGCTAATTTATAAGTTTCGTCATTTGGTTTATCAAATATTTCACGTTTTCGTCCGTCTAAAAACAATTCTACTTTATTGGTCACTCACTTTGCAGCTTCTTACATCATCAATTCATACTGATCATTCTCTCTCGCCAAATTCGACGTAACAGAAAACTATAATATTTAATCCTCTTTTCATTCATTGGTCATTAAATGGTTTAACAATACTTAAAAAACCCGAATTATAAAAAAAATTCACTTATATCTCGACTTTTTCATATTCAAAAATATTTCAGCGTATAATAGTTGTCATATCAATATCCTGAAAATTTTATTTACCGTGATAAATCGCAGTTGATCATACGGTGGTCAACTGAACATTGAATGTTGTTGACGTGGAAAAACGTGACAGACACGTAGATACCACGTCATTGACACCTTATAATTTTTAATTTAAATTATAAAAATAGTTATAAATTATAAAAATAGAAAATATAAACAAAAAATTTAAAATTAGAAAATCCAAACGAAAAAATTAAAAACCAAAATAGAAAGGGTCAACGTCCGCCACGAGCAGAGATACACGGTGGCGGAAGAATTTAGAGCTGGTAGCTGGTGATGCAAGGTGCCGGAATTCCAGCTGTGACCTGTGAATCATTCTCTATCCATTCGTCTTCCTCGCCGTCGACTTCAGCCAAGCCTTCTCGCCGACTCTCCTCTCTCACCTCTTCATCATCCTCGCCGCAACGGCCGACAAAGCCCAATCAAGCAACACCAACGATTCCATATGTCTCTATTGGATCAGGCCCGATCTCAGCAGGCCTCCCGCTCCATCAGCACACTCGGCCCGGTCCATTATTGTGGGAGAAATAGAAGTTCCGTATACTGGACGGAACCAGTGGCGGAGCCCCTTATAGCCAAGAGAGGCTATAGGCTATAGCCCCTCAAATCTCAAAATCATGTAAATTTACGTGTAAATATTGTAATGGATTTGAAAATAGATTAGGTTGTATCTGGTTCAGGCAAGACAAATTAATTCTCCATGCTATGAGATGTTCAATTGATGAATCAATTTATTCATTTGTCTCTACCGCTTCCACCGCCCGAGAGGCTTGGTTAACTCTGGAAAAGCTATACGCGAGCAATGCTCAGTGGCGTATCATTCACCTGAAAGGGAAACTCGCCAAATCTGTCAAAGGCGAACAAGACATTCTCACTTTTGTCAATGATCTGAAGACCACTGCTGCTGAACTCGCCCTTATAGGCGAACCGGTTAAAGACATCGACCTTATTGTTCACTGTCTGCGCGGCCTTGGCGAAGATTATCATTCTTTCTCGGCTGCCGTTCGTGCTCGCGGACCCGGTCTCACTCTTGAGGATCTGGTCGATTCTTTGGTTGAATTCGAGGCTGATCTTAAAGCTCGGCAGCCTACCTCTGTTCCGACTGCGTTCTATGCACAAGGACATCGCCATGGCGGCTCATCCCAACCACGCTCTCCTAGGGGTTCGCTGCCCTCCTTTGCTGCCACTTCACCTCGCGGGCCGCCAGGTCCACTTCTGCGTGCACCAAGCCCATCACGACACTCCCATTCCGGCCCATCTTCTCCTGGAGACACTGCTGGGCCTCCTGCTAGGCGAGCCCGCATCATTTGTCACTACTGTGAGAAGCCTGGGCACACAGTGCGCCAGTGCTTTCAGCTCTTCCCTCAGGCCTGCCAGGCCCATCTCCACAATCGCCAGGCTCAGGCCCATTATACCAATACGGCTACAACCTCCCAGCCTTCTACTGGCAGCCAGTCATCCTCGAATCCGTGGCTAATGGATTCAGCCGCCTCCCATCATGTGATGGCGGATCTCGGCAATCTTTCTCTCTACTCTTACTACACAGGACCTGACGAATTAATTGTTGGCAATGGCTCAGGTTTGCGTATAAGTCACATCGGTTCCTCACAATTCACTATTGGCTTTCATGCTCTCTCTTTGAATGATGTTTTACATGTTCCTGGTATTAAGAAGCATCTTATTTCGGTGGCTCAATTATGTCGTACTAACCCGGTGTCCGTGTAAAATTTTTTGCCACACATTTTGTTGTTAAGGATCTTCGCACGAGGGCGCAGATGTTGAGAGGGGGAAAAGAGGTGATATGTACGAGCTTCCGCCGCAGGCTGAACCAATTCGCATGGCACTTGTCTCAACTCGCACTACCACAAATTCTTGGCACTCACGCCTGGGCCACCCATCTGCTCATTCACTTCGTAGTCTGCTTCACTCTCACTCCCTGCCAGTTTCATCATCATCGTCTTTCAGTCATTGTGATTCTTGTCTTTCGAATAAATCCCATAAACTTCCCTTTGGTATTACATCTCTTACTAGTGAACGACCTTTTGATCTTTTACACACTGATGTTTGGGGACCAGCTCCTGTTGCCTCTATTGATGGTTTTCAATATTATTTGATTATTGTTGATCACTACACTCGTTACACTTGGTATTATCCGCTTCGAGAAAAATATGATGTCCTTCAAACTTTCCTTGATTTTCGTACCATGGTTGAAATTTTTTTCTCTACTACTATTCGGCGTATATACACTAATGGTGGTGGCGAGTTCATTAAACTATGTTCCACACTCACAACTCATGGGATCAGTCACCTGCTCACTCCTCCTCATACCCCGGAGCATAACGGTCTTGCTGAACGCATGCATCGTCATCTCGTTGAAACTGGTATTACTCTTCTCCATCATGCCCATCTTCCATCTACTTTTTGGTCGTATGCCTTCTCCACTGCGATTTATCTTATTAATCGTCTTCCTTCATCCGCTCTTCGTGGCCAAATTCCCTACACTTCTCTTTAACCAAACACCAAATTATCATAAACTTCGTATCTTTGGGTGTTTATGCTATCCCTGACTTCGACCTTATGCAACCAACAAACTTGCGCCTCGCTCTCGTCCCTGCATCTTCCTTGGCTATTGCCCCCAGCGGAGTGCCTATAAATGCTTTGATTCCACCACTAATCGCATTTACCTCTCTCATCATGTGCATTTTGTGGAAACTATATTTCCAGGCTTTGTTTCACAGGCTGCTCCCGCCGCCCCATCTCCTGCTTCATGATTATTTGATACAGGCTCACACATCACCTCCATTCCAGCGGGCCGGCCCACTTTGCCACTTCCCAGCCCGGCCTCGCCTGGGCCCGCTTCTTCGACTTCCCTCTCGGCATCAGCCTCCCCTGGCGAGGACACCTCAGCAGCTCAATCTGGCGCTTCCTCGGCCACTGGGCCATCCGATGTGCCCTCTACACCACCTTCTGGGCCTTCGCCTCCACAGCCTGCCCAGCCTCCCCCATTGGCGCGGTTCCACAGTATGCGCACCAGGGCCCAAGATGGGATCTTTAATCCCAAGCGCCTGTTTCACTCCATTACAGGCCCGACCTCTCCTTCCTCATTATCGCCGCTCGAGCCAGCTTCGGTCAAGGAGGCCTTATTATATCCCGAATGGTCCGATGCTCTCACGGCTGAATATCAGGCTCTCCATGACAATGACACCTGGGATCTAGTTCCACGTCTTCCTCACTATAGTGTCCTCGGCAATCGTTGGGTATTCAGGGTCAAACGAGATCCCGCTGGCTATATCTCTCGGTTCAAAACTCGTCTGGTCGCTAAGGGGTTTCATCAGCGGCCAGGGGTTGACTTTGGTGATACTTTCAGCCCAGTGGTCAAACCCGTTACTGTGCGACGGTTTTTACCCTGGCTCTGTCTCACAACTGGTCCATTGCCCACTTTGACGTCAACAACGCATTTTTACAAGGCCCTCTTGATGATGAGGTTTATATGCTCCAACCCCACGGCTTCATCGATCCGAATCGACCTCATCATGTCTGTCGCCTCAAGCGTGCGATCTATGGTCTTCGTCAGGCTTCTCGGGCGTGGTATACCGCCCTCAGCTCATTTCTCCTTGAGTTTGGTTTCACCAAGACCATCTCTGACTCCTCCTTGTTTGTCTACCATCGGGCTGGAGTGCTCCTATATTTTCTTGTCTATGTGGACGATCTCTTACTCACGGGGAATGATCCGCAGCTCCTTGCTACCTTCCAAGAGGCTCTCTCGCACCGTTTTGCACTCAAAACCTTGGGGGATGTCAATTACTTCCTCGGTATTGAGGTCATTCCTACCCCTGATGGCTATCTTCTCTCCCAGCATAAGTATATGACGGATATTCTCCACCGGTTTGATATGATCGCCGCCGCTCCAACTCCCTCACCCATGGCCTCCACCGTCTCTCTTACTCTTAATGACGGCGCAGCACCCTCCGACTCTACCCGCTTCCGTCAAATCATTGGAGCTCTACAATATTTGGTCTATACTCGCCCTGATATCGCCTTCTCCGTCAACAAACTATCCCAGTTCATGCACTCGCCATCCGCCTCTCATTGGCAGAGTCTGAAGCGCCTGCTTCGTTACATTGCGGGTACTCTCAGTCATGGTTTGTCTATTCGGCGCTCCACTCAACCATTATCACTCACTGCCTTTGCCGACTCCGACTGGGCCGGCGACTTGGATGATCGCTCGTCCACCTCGGCCTATCTCATCTATCTTGGCTCCACCCTCGTCTCTTGGCGCTCTCAGAAGCAGCGAACCATCGCCCGATCAAGCACGAAGCCGAATACCGCGCGATTTCTCATGCCAGTGCCGAGGTGGAATGGCTACAAAATCTGCTCAATGAGCTCCACCATCCGCTCCATACTCCCCTGACACTCTACTCTGATAATCTTGGCGCGACATACTTCTATGCCAATCCCGTCTTCTACTCTCGCATGAAGCATATGGCATTGGACTATCATTTTGTCCGTCAACTCGTCCAAGAAGGTTGTCTTGTTGTCCGCTACATTCCCACCGCTCACCAACTCGCCGATTGTACCAAAGGGTATAAAACCCATGTAAGGCCGCCGGCCATGATTGAACAAGCTAAATAAG